TTTTTTTTTTTTTTTTTTTTTTTGGTGGTGGGGAGTAAGAGAGACTCAAGACTATACAGTTGAGACTTGTGCAGAACAAGACCGGGTGGGTCCCCTTCTCCCTCCGTGTTGTCTGCTGCAGCGCACAGAAGTGGGGACCCCTGAAATCAATGTGGAGGTTGAAAAGCTTCCAGGCAGGCTGCTTAAACTCGCAACTTGAAGGCCTTGACATAAGCTCCCCACCCCCGCTGCCCCGCCAGGAGGTCATTGTAGGTGATCCTTTTGCTTAACCAATTAAACCTGGTGTGCCTTGGAAGACAACTTCTCCAAGTTCTGGCTTGCGAGTGCGGTCCGAATTGGTACCCTCCCCTTTCCCGAGAGCGGCCCGGAGGGCGGGTGTGTCCTTCCTGGAGGGTGTGGGGGGAGTCGGCTTCCCGCCGCTCCCCGGGAGATTTTGTTGCGTGCTGGGTTGGTTCTAACCCGGCTCGGCTCAGTCTCGGGGCCGAGCCAGGGCTGTAAGCCCGGGAACCCCCGCCCCCTGCCGGCCTTTTCCTGCCCCCCCAACCCCCACCCCCGCCCCCGCGTGGTGCAGCCCTTGTGGCCTCGCTTCCAGCGGTTCCCGGGCTCCGGAACAGCTGTGTTTGCAAACTTCCCGGGGAAGGGCGGGCGCACAGCCCCCGCGAGCCCTCCCGGGGCTGTGCCAGGGCTGGAAAGGGGAGGCCTGCAGGAGGTGGTGTTTTTGGGTGCAAGTGCACCGACCCCATTCTCCCCTTTGCCGCCTCCGGAGCAGCTCGAGGCCGTAGCTCGGTTGGCAGCCTGAGGCAAAGCCCTTGCAACATCCCAAAATGGGTGGTAGGAAGATGGGTGCGATTGCAGAAGGGGAGGAAAGGGAAATGTTGGGGGTGTGCCCGCCATCCAGGAGGCGTGACGCCCTGCCAGGCCTGGGGCTTAGCCTGTCCTGAGAGGGTGGGTGGTGGAGGGGGAGCTCTTGCCCCAGGATTGCTTTCCGCCACGTGCTCAGATGGGGCGCTCTGCTGCCTCCTATCAGCAGGCTGGGGCTGTGATCCCTAGCTCCCTAAGGGGAGCCCTTCCAAGTCCATGTTCGCAGGGGTTAGCATGATAAAGTCCCTTGTGCCCTGGATAAGATGATAAGACAGTTACCAGAAACATGACATGAAAAGTTTTTGTATTTTTTTAAAACTGGCCATTGAAGTTTTCTTAGGATCTGAGGACTCTGCCTGTTGTGGGATTTCGTTAATCCCCTATTAGGGAGGACTTTAAGCTAAGGAGGCTGGCCACCTTTAAACCTGGCAGTGCCCTGGCTGCCAGTGAGGCCTGCCAGGCCTTGAGCCCTGTGTCTGAAGTTTAAGGGAAGGGGCCTCCAGGTGGTTCCACCCTCCGAGGAGGATCAGTCTCCAGGCCCCTTGCTTTTCACAAGACCATAAAAGGAATCTTATTAGTGGTGTGGAAAAGCAGCAGGCCTGGCTGAGGTTCCTTTTGGAGAACAGGGTCAGAAGAGGGCTTGGAGGAAAAGAGGAAGGCTTGCTCCTTGGCTGGCTGGGGGAAAGGCCCTAGGAGGTGTGCCTGTGTACTTCTGACACCTGGCAGGAGTCCTTAATGGAGAAGGATCGGAAATGCTGTGAGCAGACAGGGCCTGCGATTGATCTGCTAGTGTTCAGGTGCTTTCCGGCCTTGAGGGTCACTAACCATGAAGTAGACTCTGGGCTTTTCTAGAATGGGGGAGAGCTGACAGGGGACACTGGGAGTGTGGTTTTTTTTTTTTTTTTCCAAATGTGTGTATCACTCAAACAAGTCTCCACCCTGCTACCCTAAAAAGGCCTCCTGTGAAACAAACTTTACTTCCCAAGAGAAACTGGAGTTTGGGTGTATTGTTTTAGTTTACTTTCCTGAATGTGGTTGGAGAAACACTGTGGTCTGCAACTTTCAAGAGTGACTCCCTGGTGAGTGTAAACTAGCAGTAAGCTCCTCACCAAGCAAGTGAAGTAGGCTGCAGGGCTTTTTCCAGCCAGGCAGTTTGGAAGTATCTGTTTTTAAAACTCATTTCTAGCACTGGGAGTGCAGCTCTGTGGCAAAGGCCTTTCCTAGCATGTGCACTGTGAGCTCAAAAACAAAACAAAAGTCCTCGGCTTGGTAATAACTGAACACACTATGGAATTCAAGAGGCAATAGGATATATGCTAAAAAAAAAAAAAAAAAAAAACCCACACAAAAAAACCAAAAACAACTCAAGACCACCTTGTACTCCCAGCCCCCTAAGCTGCCAACTTCCCGGCTGCTAACTTCTAGGTAGCATAGTTGTCATTTATGTGAACAAATCCCCATTTTGTTAAGCCTGGAAGAGCTGCGGGTGGGGAGCGAGGCAGGTCAGTAGAGAAGGTCATGTAATTCATGTCTTGTGTTTGGAGTTATGACCCCAGTCCTAACTGTTCCTGTTCTAGAGAGGAAGAGGAGGAAATGATTTGGTTAGATATGAAATACAATCCACATTCCATCTTGCATGTGAGCTCTCTGCAGAGGTGAACTGGCCTCGCCTGCCATGTCAGATCCGATTACAGCCCACTTTTATCCACACTTTTGTTCTGGAGATTTTCACCAGTGACTTCTAATGGCCCTGTTGTCTCTGCTGTGAGAGGCTTGGTTTGAAGCAACTAGCCTGATTATGGTCCTTCCATTGGCAGCTTGAGTGATAAGAACATCATTATGTGAGGTAATTGGGTTGAACAAGAAATGATTTGGGAATAGCCATTTATAAATTGCTGAAATGGTTAATTTGCACCTCCCAAACTGAGTGCTAAATCCCAGGGCCTGCTTATTAAAAATGCATTAGTATAATTACCACTCCTTTTGGGGAACCCTAGAACCCCAGTTAGCTGTATGATTGCATTGGTGGCCCTAGAATGAAATGGATCTGCAGAAACTTTGGGGAAAAATAACTGAACTGCTTAGATTCATATATAAATTCTACTTACTAAGGTTGCTATGATCAACTTTTTTAGGAGAATACAATGAAATATATTTGCATACTAGAGATGTCAGTTTTGGACCTTTTCATATTTAAGACCTGCGTGACTCCTTGTCAAGGGTTTTGGTAAATCAGCCATCACAATGATAATCACAATATAACTGACAGGTCCTTGCTTTGGTGCTCCCTGCTGTCTTTCTCAGTCCCCCAGCCTTTGTGTATGGGGTGTAGATATATAGAGGGCAGAGCAGTGCGATTCTCATTTGAACTGGCTCTTTTCTGCAGCCAGTGTTTGCAAGCTGCATGTGTGGTCTGTTATGCAGTGTGTGTGCGTGTATGTGTGTGTGCGCATGTGCATGTGTGTATGCATGCATGTATGCTCAGAATGAGGGACTTTGTGGAGAAAACACCCTTGACCCTCAGACATCTACTCAAACTAAAGTGATGAGATGATGCGTGTTGTGAAACTGGGTTCTTGGAACAGAGTGGAACTGTGCTAGCTTTGAAGGCTCTGTGAAGTACTTGTAGAATGCTTGCTTCCCAAATGGTCCCTGTTTCAGGTACTTGGTTTCTAATACTTTTTCTTCTCTTGCAAGTGTAACCTTCTGTGTTTTCTTCCTTCTTGTCTTGTTTCTTAGCAACTTATTCAAACCTCCAGTACTTACATGAGTTTGCAACCCACCAGCTCCACACCCATCATTCTGCAGGGACTTAGAATGTTTGTAGAAAGTGGTGATATTTCAGATCAAACTGCTGGGGCTGATTAAAGCTGAGAGGCAGCAGCAACCTATGAGCTGCTAACCCTCAGAAAAGCAGCACTCTGAATGCTGACTTAAATGTTATACCAAGTAGTCATGCCTTCAAGGAGCTTTAGGATAGAAGGCATGTGGGAAATCTAGTGTGGAGAAAAAACCTTGTTCATAAAAAAGGAACAGAGCTAATGGAACTAGGAGTCCTTGTGTTCTTGATTTGAAAGCAGGAATGCAAACAGAGGGCTTTAGCTAGATTTCATAAAGCAGCCATTGGCTCCATTGTAAAAGGGCCAAAATTGGTCCCAATGTCAGGCTTTCGAGATTAGTGACTGCATAAGACTGTAATCTCTGAACATGCATACAATTAGCTTTGCAATCCATAAAAGCAAATATGCCCAAGAATTCTTACTGGGCAGACATCTAGGGGTATCCCCCCCAAATTTAGGACCCAGGCTATTGGGAAGTATCCTGCTTGGTTATAGTTTTTATTTATTTTTAATTAGAAGCAAACAAAATTAAACTTCCCTGGGGACTAGCGTATCACTAAGTGGCACAGTGCCTTCCTGCCAAGCACAAGGTTGTGAGTTCGATTCCTGGTACACCCCCCTCCAATTAACCTTCTCTACCAGTTGTTGGAATATGGATGAAGAAGTGTAAACAGTGAAGATTGTAGAATGGTGATGGACATAGCAGGGATTCCTGGATTCAGAAGTGTCCCATTTTTTGCTAAGTTTTGGGCTGTGAATTCCTGGTGGTTTCTGATCCTTCCATAGAACACCACAGCCCCATGCCCTGACTTTTATGATGTTGCTGACTTCTATCATGGTGCAGCAAATGAAATCCCAGGTGGTTCCCAGTGGTTAAAAGGTGCATGCAAATAGTCAAACATCCAGTCCTCTACCAGCTCAGCCCAGTTTTTATGCGCTTTTAGTAAATAAGTAGAAAGGCTTCTTGTTCGGGCTTGCTCTATGTGAACTGGACCGTTGTGCTTGGCTGGCTTCTTGGTATTCTATCTATTAACCTCACCACCCTTTTGTAACTGGTGCATTTAATTATCAGTGGGATGCCTTTCAAACAGGTAAGGGTAATGATGGGAAAGGCGTAGGGGCCTCTCATTGAGTCAAATCTGGATATGAGCTCTGGGGTGGCTTGAAAAGCCTTTGAGGTGGGCTTTGATGAGAAAATCACCTTTTGTAACCAGATCAGACTCTATTGACATGTCAAGCCCAGTGGACTTGATTGCTTTCTAGGACTGGAGCCTTTGCCTTCACACAGAGAGATGTCCTCCTTCCATCTCTTGCCTTGCCAGAGCCCCATGATATGTGATCGTGTGAGAATGTGTGTGTGCCAATACATGGACTATGAAAACGTGTGTGTGTGTGTGTGTGTGTGTGTGTGTGAAAGAGAGAGAGAGATACACTTTGTGACGAGTATTTTACACTCTGGCCACCCAGACTCGAGCAGGACAATAGAGTTGGCCCAATTGACTGAATGAGGATTACAGAGAAGAATGGGCCCTCTCCAAAAATACTGCTAATACAGGACAAGTGACAGGAAGCAACAGTTGAGTCAGCAGAGCACAGGGTCTGTTGGGGCCCGGGACCGACTGGCACACACAATGGCCGCGTTGGCACACCAGGCCTCCCCAGGATGTGTGCGCCTCCGGCCGGCCCGCTTGTCGCAGCAGCCTGGGCTTCTGGACGCCACTCGCGTGCCGTTTAGATGGCGGTTTGTTTGTGTCCGTCAGCTTGGCAGGAGGGGAGGCAGCCGCTTCTCAGGGCTTGGTTTGGCTGCCACCGTTGCCAGGAAAAGGAAGCTCCCAGCTGCCAACACAATTACCTTTGTTTCTTACATCCCCCTTTCTTAATGTGGCAATTAAGTGTTTACCGCTCTGCCCAGTGCCAAGGTAACCGCGGTGGAGTGGGGCAGAACGCAGCGCAGCCCTCGAGCAGCAGCCCAAGCATGGCTGGCAGGCAGAAGGAGGTGCTGGTGCCCTGGCCCTTGGGGGTAGGGAGACCCGGTGGCCCTGGCATGCCTTGGAAGCTTTGATGCCCAGACTCTCCTCCAGCTGAAACTGCACAGAGATTTCCCCAAGCCGTTTTGAAAGCTGCCCAGTCCTCTTCAGTGTAGGAGTATGGGCACAGTCCTCCTGTTGCTGGCTGTCCTTGGGCCTGGAGCTGGGCAGGAGCAGAGTGAGACACTTTGCAAATCCACACTAAAGAACTACTAACTCCCATTTGTACTGCATTTAGTCCCATGCTATTGTTCTGGGGAAACTTAATGGTAATGGTGGCAGGGCAGGCTCGATGAAGTCCAGGTGAATCTGCTTAAACAGTGTCTTGGATTTAGAGCTTGAAACCAAAAGAAACCCAGGTATGTTTTTATTTCATCTAATTTTGGGTATGAATTGAAGACTGAACATTTGCCTTTCCAATCCCCTTGTAGGCCTTGGGGACTTGGCCTCTGCTGGGGCCCAGATTTGCACTGGTCAGCCATGTGGGACTCGATCTTTGTGACATTGCTTTGAGGCCCAGTGCTCACTTTGATGGCAAGAGGTGCCATGCCACAATCATGCCGTGTCCACGATCTGGTTCTTAGTGTCTGGATGCATAGTCAGGGATGTACAGAGGTCAGGCGTGGGCCTGGGAAAAATTAAAAGTTCCCTAGCAGGTAATAATCATTGCTAAATTATCTTGATTGTTGATCTATCATGTGGGGATGGAGTGGGAGGTAAGAATGCCTCCTAATAGGAGCCTTGGAGGGAGCCCTTTTTTCTAAAGGCTGGGCACTTATGCCTTGGGAGACATGCCTCAGAAGCTAATGCCATCTCTGAAACTAGGCAAAGGTTCAGGCTTGGTGGCTGTCAATGCAGCCTCAACCCACCTTCCACCCCCCATACCCCCTGCCCCGTCCCCCCTACAAGGAAGGTGCTAGTAGAAAATCATGACACCAGGCTGCTGGGTCTGTGGGTACCATTTTTTCCCTTCAACGTGGGGTGGTGTTGATCAGCAGCCTCTGAGGTGAGGATGTGCCTGGAAGACTGCCTAGTCTTCGAAGGGCTTATGTGAGATTCAAGGACGCCTTCCACCACTGTGTTCAGCAAAGATGATTCTGTCACGCCGGCTCTGTCCCAAGCGCCTTCCCTTGCAGTGGTGTTTGCCGGTGTTGTGTTTAGTGCTTGTGCAAGTCGGTCAGAACTCTTGGTATCAATGCATTTAATCAGAGGATTAATTACAGCAATATTGTCAAAGTGAAGGATGTGAGCCTCAACGTGAGCAGCAAATGAAGGGCTTAATTATACAGAATCAGCCAGCTATCTGGCCTCATTTCGACTTGGCCCTTGCCTCCAATCAGCAGAGAAATATAATTTCTTGCTGCTCCTTGAGAAGAGTCCTGTAATTTGTAGGAAGTCCTAGGAAACTTAAAAAGGTTGTAAATAAGGTGTGACTTTCACTAATAAAATATTAACGAGGACAACAATGTGTTTGGACCTCTGGCCACTAACAGGAAAGGGCTGGGTTTGTGCCCTGGCTTGCCTGGTTTTGCTTTGCTTTTGTGAGCATTTTCCCACAGTTATCAGTGAACGAAATGAAATCCTACTCTGCTTTGAGTATGAAGCATATTTCGGCTGGATTCCAAGGCATGGTCTATCAGAAGATATTTTTATATTCAGAGAGGACCTGCTGCGTCACTGTGAGCGCAGTCAGCTTGCCCTGAGTTATGAATGAAACTTTCCTCTGCCTTTTTGCCTTAAGCGCATTGGTATCTTCCCTTCACTTGCAGCAGGATGCTTCTGGTTACCCAGTATTATTTAATCAACCTAGGTGACTATTTCCAGTGCACTGCTGTCCCGCTGGCCAAACAGAGGGGGTACCATAAATGGGTTTGTGTTCTTTTTCTTCCCACCTGCTTGGGATGGATTTCTCCTGCCTAAGATAGGTTTGTTGAAACTCTAGCCTTTTGTAAGACTGACCTCATGGTAAATTGTGAATGAAGATTTGAGTAAAAGTGGGAATTTGCTAATAGCTTGGGTTTAGGGGAGGTGGAATTCTGAGATAAGCCTGGAAGATAAAAAGTGCCTTCGTATAATAGGTGGCTGGCATCTTGCCAGCATCCAGGGAATTTGTTCAGTTAGTGGTCTCTGATTATTCCTGGAATGTTGGATCTTATTGACAGATAAGTTCATCAATAAATACAGCCCACAGGAGTGTGCTGATTTCTCCCTTTGTACTTTCTTCCCCATCTGCCCCCTGTGGCACCACCCAAGTGAGGTCGCCTTCTTTGTCTTCCTGCATCTCCTTGCACCTACCCCCTCCTGTTTCCTAGGGTTACCTGATACTTGTGGGAGCTGGGATGGTCTCACACAGACAGGGCTTTCAAAGGGGTTCTGAAAAGGAAAAGGGGGGGCCTCCCTGGGGACTGCCCCACCAGGGCCCAATGTGTAACCTTAGCAATACCCCGTCAGTACAAATACCTTGGTAGGTTAGCTTAGAATAAATTCTTTGTCTGGCTTTTTTTCTCGTGCATTAGGGTTGGGGTCTGGAAAGTTTTGGAAAACTCAATGCTAAGTGCTCTCATATAGGGAGGTGGCATTTCCTGCCTGGGACTTTGGGCTGCCTGCATAGGTGTTGACCCCTTTGGACACTTGCCAGGTGAAAGGACTTGCTGGTCAGCCTGAGGAGAGTGAGGAAGAAGGGAGAGAAATTGGTCTGGATTTAAACACCCAAGACTTTAGTGTGCTGTGTGATACAATTTTCATTTTGCCTTTCTGGCTTGGTTTAGCAGGGTGTGTTGGGAGACTAAGCAGGTCATTAGAGTGCTGGCCCCTGTTTCGGAGACTCTAATTATTGCTTATCTGTGTTGCAGAGGTCCTACACTTTGCTGGTGGAGGCGTGGGATTCCAGTAACGACACTATCCGTAAGTATCACACCCGCGCGCTCCCCTCTAAATGCCTGTGGAAGTGTGGCCCTGTCAGTGGCGTCTGGCTCCCAAGTTCTCTTTTTCTCTGATCTACCTCACTCCAGCTCCTGGACCTGCTGTGGAGTTGGTTCCTTAACTTGCCTTAGAACTTCAGTTTGGAATATTAAGTAGGCAGAACAGACGGCCTAGTTAACTCAGTCCCCTGAATAAGGACTTAGATTATCTCTGGGTAGAGATCTTAATGGTTTTACAACTTTAAAACCTTGTAGACTGCTAAAGGATCAAAGTAGTGACTTTTTAAAAGTCCATTTAAACTTTAAGTGAGCATTTAATCTCTCATCAGAAAGATAAAGCCACAAAGGTGGCTGGGCTCTAAAGACCAACCTTGAATTTCACTTGGTGGGCAGGTGAGCTTCTAGCCCCTCGGAGTTTCCCACACTGCGCCCCACAGACCTTTCATTGAAGTGGAATTTCAGAGCCCTGCAGCTCTGACCTGCCTTGTCCCCTTCTGAAAGATGGCTCTGTGTTCAGTGGAGATTGCTTTTCAGGATGGCAAAGGGGAGGGTTTGGGTGGCGAGGCCACTGAGGGCCTCTATTGCCTTATAGTCTTATACAGTTGTCTTGCTCTTTAATTCTCACCAGGCAACATGTTTGTCTTTGCAAGCAAAAGGAGTGAGTTCCCTTTTTGCCAGGGGAGAGCTCCTTGCTGTCATTGGAAAACCTGGTTCATGCTGAAGTCTCTTGGTTCACAAGGCGGGAGAGTGGAGGCAGCCTCTTGTCTTTGCCTTCTGTCTTTGCCTTTGCCTCCTGCTTTTATTTCTATGCCTTACTCTTTCTTGTGTGTTTGCTGCTAACATCTTTCTACCTTCTCTCCCTTTGCTTTTGTACTTAATCCTAGGGGGCTAAGTGCCCAACATGGGCACTCTAGGGACTGGGCCGATGGTTGGTGGGCAGCTTCCAGTGTGGCTGCCTTGCTAGGCCCCTTGAGGCTGTGGCACCCTCACCAAGCCCTCCAGTACCAGAGGCACCTGGTCATTTGGGGCCCTCCTCCTGTCATGGCATCTAGAGTCCAGCTCTATGGATGTCATCTTTGCCTATAGGGAGCACGTGAAAGTTCAGGCTCAGAGGTGTCTTTTCTGTGGGCACTCCTGTCCCACAGTGGAAAGTGTTTGTGTTGGGAGTGGTGTCAGGGGAGCTCTGCCAGCTTTAGTTGTGGCTGATACCATCAGGGTCATAAATATGTTTGTTTCCCCCCCCCCCCAACAAGCTCTGAGGAGTTTATGCACGTCATGTCACCGTGACCTGCTTGCAGGAGAAACAGGAGCAAGAGGAGATGGGGAGGGTGAGAAATGGACCGTTGAGATACTCTGGTGCAGGTATGATAGTAAAATCATGGAGTGAAATACACATTTTTGAGATCCTGTCCTGCGATCAGAGCCACGTCATCAGGGCACTTAGGGACGTGTGAGGGGACACCCCCATATACTCTTTCCTGGCCTTCCATTCTTTCCCAGCTTGGACTTGTGTCCCTGAGGCCTGAGAACCCAGCCACAATTGCCCGTAGTTTGTTTTCTAGGTTGTCCCATTTTGGGGTTCCAGAATATCTTACCTCTTGATGGGGGTAAGCAGTCCCTGAAAGGGGACGAAGAAGAATGAGGTAGGACAAGGTGCTTCAGACGTAAACTTCTGAGGCATGATGTTGCCATCGTCCCAGGCTGCTCACTGCGTCTCACTGGAACACTAGGGGAGCCCATAGGTGAGAGATTGGGTGGGTTTGGTGGGCCTATTTCTCTCCTTTCCCCTTTGCTTCTCTTCTGTGATGTGTCTCAAGGAATCTCAAATCCAGGTCAAAATTAAACCTGAAACCTTCCCTTACTAAGAACAATCCCTTCAAGGTTCTTTTCTTGGTGACGGCACACAATCACAGAAGCCAGAAATCTGGAGGATCCCTTGTGTACCCCTTCTCCTTGGTATCTCTATGTATACCATGTCCAAAGTTTTAAAACCTCATCTCCATGTCTTCTCACCTCTGTGCTCACATGTCCCCCATGTCACTGCTTACAACTGAACTTGTATAGTAGCTGCAGGACTAACTGGTCTACCCTGTCTGCTTTGGTTCACTTCTCTTGCTTTTGGAGAAGCCCTCCCTTTCTCAGAAAGTCCTACACAGCCCAGCCTTATCTTTTTTCTCATACATCGTGATTGTAGCCTACCCATTTACCCGCTTTTTTTTTTTTTATCCTGAAATGCATGCCATTTTTCTTCTGCGTTGGGGCCTTTAGGAATGCTGTTTCCTCTGCATGGAATGTTTTATGCTTCTCAATCTCTTTTTCCCCCTGGTCCCTCCCAGTGGATTATATTCCCTGAGTGTAGAGCTGAGGGGGCTCAGGAGCCCAGTGGCCCTTTGGTACCCAACAAGTCAGAAACATCCTCAGTTTGGGGACAGAATTTCTTCCCACATCAACTCTTCAGGAAACTCAGGTGCTGTTGATGTATTAAAAAGGGTTTCCTGAGGCTGACCCTCCTGCCACCAGTCCTCGAAAGTCCTTTCCATTACATTTCAGAACTGTAGTAAATAAAGGTCCAAGTTTTTCTTTCTCCACCAGAGCAAACAATTTCTGTTTACTGTAATGCTTAATTGATGTGTAAACTCAAACAGGTGCATTTGAGACCAGTCTTTCTTGTAGATTAACTTTCCCAGCTAGGGTTCCTTTCTAAGTTGTGTGTTGCCTGCTCCTGGGGTCCCTTATGTCCCCCTGCCTGCCCTGTGAGGTTGCTGTTCTTCGTGATGCATCTCTGTGTGGTGAAGATTGCAGGGAGATATGATGGCATTCTTTTTAGTGGCAATCTGTACCACTAAGTTAGTTGCTCCAGATCCACATCAATATCCCAGGCAGACTGGAAGTGCAATTCAGGTGGCTGCAAGGAGGAAGTAGGCAGGGGACCTGTTCTCTGAAACCCATAGTGGGGAGAGCTTGTCACAGACATGCAGCTCCCTGCCATGGCAGGTGGGAAGTCTTTTCTACACCTAAGCAGTCCTCTACATAGCACATCCTGAAGGTGGGTAAAGCATGCCAAGCTACTCAGAGTCAGGAGTCATTCTGCACCCTTAGACTATGCTAGGCTCTTATCTGAACTGTTTGTTGTTGATACAGGCAGAAAGAAGCTAGATGCTTTGAGCCATGGCTAGTGTGGTTCAGCGATTTCCTTATTAAACTCTTGTAACCATGTATTAAGAGCCCACTACACTATTTAACTGAACATATGGAACAGGTACACAGTTGGTAAAGAATGTTTTTGTCATTCTTTGGTCTGTGTTTATTTGTAAAAGTGAGTGAGTGAAAGGTTTACCTATAAGTGCTCTTGTGTGCTGGCATGAGCCTGCAGGTGTGCAGGCTTGTCCAGGGCTTGTCTTGCCCACGCGACACTCGGAGGGCCCAGAGGGTAGATGCTGGGCTGTTAGTAGTAGAGCATGTGGATGAAGCTACCCAGGAGCTCCTTCCCTGGTCATCTCTAGAGCTTACATAGCTTTGTCATGGAGCATAGGCCCACGGCCCAGAAAAACAGTAGTGTGGGTGTGTAAGAATCACAAAGACAACAGGTAGGCTCCGATGCTGCTGTCTCACCAAGGTGGCCTTGAATCTGACAAGGTAGTGAATGGTTGTCGCTGGCAGATTTAAGAAAACAAACAGAGCAGCAGACTGGTGCTGCTGACTTGGGACTTGTTGCCTTTCACACTCCTGGCACCCGTGTTTGGAGCTGTTTTTCTGGTCCTCTCTTGTCTCAACCTTGACTGAAAGTGATCTCAGGGAAGGGACCACTTTGTACTTCTCAAAGCTGCTTAAATTCTAGGCATTTTTATTTTTTTTTTTTTTAATTTTTTTTTGTTTCGTACAGGGTCTCACTACACAGCTCAGACTCATAGTGCTCCTCCTATCTCAGCTTCCCTAGTGCTGAGATTATAGGCTTGTGCCACGAGGCCCGGTTTTGGGGCCAGCACAGCACACCTGGGATTCTGGGGCTGGCACAGCATGCGGTACCAGGAATTGAACTTGGGTCCCTGTGCCTGCCAGGCAGGCGCTTAGACCACTGAGCTATCTCCACAGCCCATCTAGGCCTTTATTAGCAGTAAGCATTGTTGAAGGAGCATGGCTTAAGACAGAATAGTACCTCCACCCACCTGTCTATAAACAGGACAGTTTTCCCAAATACTTCTGAGCAGGGCAGAGAGATGAAATGCATCACGTTCTTGATGATGTGCTTAGGATTTTTTTAATTTTAAAAAGCGTAACTTAATCTCCTTGCCTTTTGGTAGAATTTGGAAATGGACAAAGATTTTCTAAGCAAGATACAAAACTCTAAATCCAGAAGCAGAATGGTTGCCAACCTTTATTTGCATAGAAAGGTTAATTTACTTATGAGCAATATTCCATAAGGGACAACCCCCTAAAATATATAAAGAGCTTCTTACAAATTGGTGTGACCAACAGTATGATAAAAAGTTGGCAAAGGGCTGAGTGCATTGGTACATTCCTGTAGTCCCAAGTATTGCAGAAGCTGAGATGGGAGGATTTTAAGTTTGAGACCAGCCTGGGCACATTTTAGCAAGACCTTGTCTCAAGTGTAAAGAGCTGATAGCTCGGCACTTCCTAGGTTCAGTACCAAAACTGAGAATGTGGGCTGAGGGGTGCGGTTGGCAAGAGGAAGAAACTGATGCAGGTCGCAGGAACAAATGAGAATGGTTTGATAAGTACCTGAAAGAGTGCTTGCGGTCACTTAGTGACATCCCAGTTAAGGCAAGAGATGTGTTTTTCTGTCAGGCAAAGATCAGAAACTTGTTGCTATCTGGTATTGATGCTGGTTCTAGGAGGCAAGATTTGCTTTGCTGGTGGAAGAAAAATGACAGAACTTCCAGGGTGGATGGGGTGGGATTGTCCACTGGCTAAATGGACTGGTTGTGGACATCCTGAGGCCAGCACTGCCAGCCCCACACACGGATGGGTATGTTCAGCAGGCATGTTGTAGCTTTAAAAGCAGAGGTCTAAACCTGTGAATCCATAGGTCAAAGACTAGGAGATGGTGCTTCTAGACCATGGGATGCACCGGGCATTTACTACAAAGGGTATAGCGTGGTAATGGTGTTGGCCTCTGCTGAAGGGGGAACTTTTTATTTTCTGCCCTTTTGTACAGTTATTTAAATTTTATGTCATATGCCCATTTTTACTTTTTAAAAATGAGTCAAAACGGCCAGGGCAGGAGACTGAGAATCTCATTGTGATATACCTTTTTCTTTTTCTTTTTCTTTTATTTTCCCCTCTAGAACCTGACAGCATCATTGAAAAAGCATCTCACTCGGGCATGATCAACCCCAGCCGGCAGTGGCAGACACTGAAGCAGAACACAGGCGTCGCCCACTTTGAGTACCAGATCCGCGTGACCTGTGATGACTACTATTATGGCTTTGGCTGCAATAAGTTTTGCCGTCCTAGAGATGACTTCTTTGGACACTATGCCTGTGACCAGAATGGCAACAAAACGTGCATGGAAGGCTGGATGGGCCCAGAGTGTAACAAAGGTGTGTGTGTGTGTGTGTGTGTGTGTGTGTGTATACACGTGTGCACTGGCTGAGTTTCCTAGCCCCCCGCCTGCTACTCTGAGTGTCGAGTTCAGACCCAGTGCAGTCAGTGGCAAATGGCCATCTCAGGCAGGCGCGGGTGTTTACCTGTCACCTAGGACTAAAGCATGAAGATTCTGTGCCTAGAGCTGCTGTCCCTGTGCCCTGCAGAGCCCCTCTACCAGCTGGTGTCCCCATCCCCCAGATGCTGTGAGTGCTGGCTGCTAACAGCTCCCAGCTGCTCCTTCTCTGGGGAGTTGTCCTCTCCACAGGAGCTGCTTGGGGCCAGTCCCTTGGGCTCACTGTTCAGGGAGTGACTGATGGGAGGGAACAGGGCAGCCCCCTTTGCCTTGTGGAGCAGAGATTCACTCCCCAGGGATGTCCCTGGGATCCGCCTTCCAGACTCCATTAGAGGCCACACCCAAGCTCAGCTTCCTCCCCTGCCCCATCTGCCTTTGTCCTGGATGCCAGGCCCTTTTGGCACCGCTTCGGAGGAGCTGGGTGAAGGGATGCTGAATTCAGGTGGCCTCGCAGTGAGCACTCATGGGGCATCTGTGGGACCAGGGTGTTGAGGGAAGAAAGGAAAAGTCAGCTGGGCTTTTCCTACTGCAGGAGGGTTGTGCTCACACAGGGAGAACACACACACTCAGAGGTCTTACTGTCTTCTGTCCTGGCCTCTTTTATTTGAATTCAGTAATTCTGATTCCCAGCAATTTGGTGGGTAATTGTAGTAAACCTTATGAATAATTTCCTCATGAATAATAATAGACTCTACATATCTTTTGTGATAATTAAGTAAATTCTTTCATGATAAGCTTAAATTTGAGAAAATGAATTTTGAGCTATGACCGATGGGTGCAGTATGGCGGGGTTCTAGGGCTCCTGGGAAGTACTGTTTTCTTCAATAACTGGAGAGTAGTAGTTTAAACAGGATGGCATTTCTGAAATTCCAGTGAAAGAAGGAATTGATGAATAGATTTTAAATAGGTGTGTTTGAAAAGTCAGTAATATTACTTTAAAATCCATAGTAGTTTTTTAAATGAGGAGAAGAATTGCTTTGTGTGGGTTCTCTGCAGGTGCCACCAGCCCTGGCCTCCAATTAGCCACCCAAATGAAGCCAGCTTGGTTACCCTGGGAGATTTTTGAAACAAGGATTTTTGTGGGAAAGTTTTTCCTTGGGGTGGGGGGCGCAGCTGGGGCTCTACCGAGGGTGCCCTGAAGGATGGTGTGGGAGAGATGGTGAAGAGGCTCTGCACCTCCTTCTCTTGGCAAAGGAGAGCAGGTTTACAGGGGAGGGGTTGCAGGGAGCTGGGAAGCTGCTGTTAAGGGCTGGGTGAGGACTCCCTGCATCATGTGACTGAATTCTGTCCCCAGGCAGTATCATGTTTTGAGGATCTGCTAACATGGCCTTGAAGCTTAAAGCTGGGTTTCTTTGGGCCCCTCCCATCTTTCTTTCCCTAAATGGGCTTGATATGAGATCTCTTAAAATCATGGATTTTGTAGGCTTATTATACTAGGCAGTTCTCATGACGCTTGGCAGTGCAGGATGCCGGCAACGTGCTAATTCAGTCTTCTCTGCTCCTTTACAGCTATTTGCCGACAGGGCTGTAGTCCAAAGCATGGATCTTGCAAAGTTCCGGGTAACTGCAGGTACAGGTCTTTTGTGATTTCTTTTTTGTTTAAAAAAGGACATTTCTTTTAATGCAGCAGAGGGACTAACTTGATTGTTAATATGCTCTTTTCATTGTTAGGAAGAGAAAGTTAAAAAAAAAAAAAAAAAAAAAAAACAAACACCCTGATCCAAAGCTTATTAAATTATCCTAGCTGTCTGGTCGAATGTACACCACTTCTCTAGGAGAGAAAAAGGAACTTGGCATGGCTGGTGACTCTTGTGTTAACTATTCTGTAAACTGATAACACATTTTTATAATTCTAAAGTGCTAATGCACTGGATGGGGAGGGGTATGGCTTGGTTTCCTTAGGCTCCTCCTCCTCCTGCTCACCCTCCTCCTCTTATTCCTTCTCCCTCCTCCCCCTCTGCTCTCCTCCCCTCTCCATTCCCCCTCCTCCCCTTTTCCTCTTTCCCTCTCTCCCTGCCTTCCCCCACTTTTCCCATCAATAGGAGAAAGTCCAGCATTCTTTAGAATGGGATTAGTACAATCTCCTGCCCCTCTGCAGTGGGAGCCTGCCGGTGCTGAGAGGTTAATGGCTGTACTGGAATCTTGTCAGTTGAGCCTGATGAATGTCGACTTTTGCTACTGGCCTTTGAAGTCTGTTCTTTTATAGTCCGGGAACAATGCAAAAACCAAAGGGAGTCCCTACCCTGAGAGCTTCAGGACCATGGTTTTGGGCACTTCTTGAAATGTATATTATGTCAGTTTGAGAAAGTTTGGTTCCCGGAAATACTGTTGGAGTCTGGGGCATTTGGACAGCATCACACGCTTTTATTTTCCCTCCTCCCAAATTATAAGGATTAGTAGATTTAATGTGACACTAAATGGATCCTTTGGGCTTGTCACCTTTGTCCCCAAAGCTGCTGTGACTTGAGCCAAGAGAAGCTTATGAAACAGTTCAAACCAGTGCACCTCAAAGGAAGGTGGTACCTGGGGCTCTGATTAAAAAGCAGATTCCATACCCTGGCTGGAGTGATCTCAAGGTGTTTTGCATTATTTTTGGAAGTGCCTGGGGGTGCTGTTCTGTGGCTGATAGGACCCTATTTCTGGAATTGCTGTCCCACACTTCAGTACTAACATGTGATTCCCAGGATTAAGGAAGTGACTGTTAAAAGTACTGATTCCTGGCCACCACCCATTCTGACAAGAGCCCAGTGCCGTGGGTTAGCCCGGGAATGTGCTGGACCAAATTCTCATCTGGTTTTCCTCCCTTGCAGCAGAAACACTGAATTTAGGCTGAGGTGGGAGTCAAGGCAGCTGGAGGCAAAATTAAGAGCAGGTTGCACTAAAATGGAAATTTATTTTCTGCAAAGCTGAATGGATTCACCCACAGCTAACAGCTGACTGTGGTGTTGAACAAGGTTGCTGTCGAATGCCAAGCAGGAATCCACCTACAGCACCTCTCCGTAATTAGGGGTGTTCTGGAGAAAGTAAGAACGGCAGTGCCATTAGGGCAGTGCCATTAGGGCCTCAGAGCCTGCTTCCTGTTCAGATGAGTATCAGCGAGGCCAACCCGATTTGTGCTACTGTCATCAGAATAAACATTGCCACGCAGGGGAGGGCCCTCGGAGCCAGAACAACAGGCTTTGTTTTCAGAATTTAGCCCTTTCTCTTTCGAAGTCTCACCTCCCACTCCCTGCCCAGACACGCACTGGTGCCCTTATTTACTTAAGGTGCAACTTTCCCACGCGGCATTTGCATAGTCTCCCAGTCCAGTTCCTTTGCCCTGCCTTGAACAAGGATCAAAACAGAACCTTCCAGCTAAGGAAGTTCAGGTTGTATCCTGCTCCAGAAATAGTTGCATGGCAAGTTACCAGTAAGTCATCTTTCGGATTATGTACTGCACTGGCTTTTGTCTTCTTCCCCTGGAGAGGAGCACTTTGTTGATTTGTTGTTGTTGTTGTTGTTGCTCCCGAGTAAATGCAGGTCCCCCTTCCTGGGTGCACTTGCCGGCTCTGTTGCGAGCCTGCCAATAACATCAAACTTAATTGTGAATCATTCTATGAGGGAAGGCACTTCAATTTCTCATGAGAATCTTAATCATATATTATTAAACTGGGCTAACTTGGTGGATGCCTCTTTTGGGGTCAGTATTTTTATTTGTTTTCTTTTGAAGTCATCCGTGGCCCCTTGCGGTTGCTTTTTCATGCTTGGGGATTGAGTGCTTGTTAATTAAGAGGTTAGGTTGGGTCCTCAGCTGGCTCTTCTTGCTTTTATTAGGCAAATTGAAGAGGTAGAGCCTGCCTTAATTTGGAAGGGTAAGGGAAGACAGAATATTGCTCTCAGTCAATCCCTCATGTTACCTTTCAGGCTAGGACTGTCAGACAGAATAGCTTCCCACCCCTCTAACTCCCACTAACTTTGGGGTGTCCCTTTTGTTACCAAAAAAAGTGTATCAGATGACTTTATTTTACTCCTTCAAATAGTCACTTGTCATTTAGGCCAAGGGTCTATTTGATCTAAACCAGAATCCTGTGTCTGATTAATATTAAGCTGCACATTCTATTGACTCTTTGTGCTTGGGCGTGCAGGGCTTGTTTTTGGAAGCTAGGATGTGGTTCATCAGTATTCTCAGGGGTTCAGTTGATTCTGAGCCGTGGGTGATTAGCTATTAGCTAGATCCCTATAATTTTCCCATGACAAGGATTTGCTAGCTTGCCTCCAGCTCTCTGCAACTGTGAGGCTTTCCTTTGAGGGGGTTAAGGGGACGTTTGTTTTCCAGAGTCACAGCTGAGCAGCTTACTGGGTGGCTGGTTCCAATCATGGCTTTTCCCAGGTCCTCCTCTGGGATGGTTGTGCACGACTCACATTCGCCTTGTCATCTGGCGAGCTGGCAGTGTTGTCACTGCCTCTGTCCCATCCCTTTTGTTAAAGCTTGATGTTTGAGAAGACAGTTAAAGTTTCAGAGGGCTTGAAACTTGAGGGGAGAGTGGTTTGAGACCTTGCCCTTTCTACCCCTCAGGTGAAGGTTTATGTTTGTGTTTTTGTTTGGGGATCAAAGGCACCATTTGGCCTCCAAACAGTCTGATGAACAGGTTGCTTATAAAAGAAACTCAACTCTTCCAAAACTAGATAAACTACGATGACCCTGTTTTCTTACCTTTTTTTTTTTTTTTCCAAAGTGAGAAGCATATAAATTAACATGAGCAGCCGTGTAGTGGGTCCTAAATCATCTGTGGACTGGGTTCCCTGTGCTGTAGCTGCTCTCCCCTGCCTCTCGCTGCAGAGAGTGACTTAGCCACGCTGCCCTGGCCTTTGCCTGCTGTTTGTCTGCTTTGTTAAGCTTCCCTGTGCTGTGCTTTCCTGCTGCACTCTCTGTCTTGTTGGTTTCTGTGCACTGAGGTCACAGCTCGCATTTGAGACAAAGCCCAGCAGAGCTGCAAGCGCAGCCCTGGAGGAGACATTCGCACAGCTATTGTCCCCGGCCAGTCCTTCTATGGTCTGTCTCAACTAGGTCCTGGGATTGATTTATTCTATGCCCCCACCCTTGGCTCATCAGGGAGCCTGAGAAGAGAGTGGCTTTGTGGAGGGTACCCCATACCGGCCCCTCCCCAGACAGCCCTCCTTTTGTTGAAAGTCAGCCGGGAGGGGACACTGGCCCAACTGTGAAAATGTTTGTTTATAAGAGGCATGCTGCGGCACCCCCTCCCAGTCTTGACTGTCTGCCATCCTGTCCCCCCCCAACAAAACAGCCTGACCTTGCGGTCTTCTGTTGTAATCGTGCAGACCCCCGTGATGTTGGAAAGGCTGAATGGGGTGTGCTGTCTGTCCACAGGTGCCAGTATGGCTGGCAAGGCCTGTACTGCGACAAGTGTATCCCACACCCGGGATGTGTACATGGCACTTGCATCGAGCCCTGGCAGTGCCTCTGTGAAACCAACTGGGGCGGCCAGCTGTGTGACAAAGGTATGCACTCCATGAGGAGGTTCAGGTGGGGTGCTAGCCTGGGGTGGTGGGTAGTATGGATTTGACTTTTGCTTTTACTCTTTTATGTCTTATAGTGGAGCTGGGGATGGAACCCAGCACCTCCAGCATGCTAGGAGAGCGTACTACCTCTGAGATATACCCTGTTCCCTATTTATCACTGTTCAGGGTGTTTTGCTCTGAATTTGATTTTGAATTTATGATATGGGAGTTATTTTATTTTGGTTTTACTTTTTTCTTTTTTTGGTTTTACTTTTGAAAGAGATAAGAACTGTTAGATTAGGAATCTTTACTTTTGCCTCTTTGTGACTTTGGGGCCTGTTTTTTGGCAGATCTCAATTACTGTGGGACTCATCAGCCCTGTCTCAACGGGGGAACTTGTAGTAACACAGGTCCTGACAAATATCAGTGTTCCTGCCCTGAGGGGTATTCAGGACTTAACTGTGAAATTGGTAAGTGGTACAAGCTGGGTGAGATCCCTATGCTTACTTTTTCTCTACATTCAGCTTAAAAACACACATAAGATTGGGTGTGATGATGTGGCCTTTAATCCCAGCGCTTGGGAGACTGAAAACAGAGGAATTACTATGAGTCCTATCTGTGTAGTGAGACCCTATACTAAATACATAAAAAACCCACACACTCACCCAAGGAAATATGAAAATGGCCTACAAAAAGCTTGTTATCTCAGGCCTTCTGTGGGTTTATGAAACCTCTGAGTCCTTCAAGTTTTTTGGGTGATGCTGATTTACATAGTGGAATTCCTGGTCTCCAAGATTGGTTGCAAGCAGTTGGAGACAGCTTAGTGAGAAAGATGACCTCCTTTCTTCCTTGGGCACAGTTAGGGTCACATACATTTTTTTGAACTGGTGGTGGAGATGGAGAGGATGTAATGCAAATCGAGGTCTCCCTTGCTGACTGCTGTCTTGTCTCTGTAGCTGAGCACGCCTGCCTCTCTGATCCCTGCCACAATGGAGGCAGCTGCAAGGAGACCTCCCTGGGGTTTGAGTGTGAATGCTCTCCAGGCTGGACTGGACCCACATGCTCCACAAGTGAGTGTCCATTCTGGAGGGTCACTGTGTGAAGACTCAGGTGGGAAGGGGAGATCTGGGTTTGTCTAGTGCTGTGGGCTTGGTGACACATCAGTTTCAGTGGGAGAGGGCACAGTTAGGGTCACATACATTCAGTGGGACAGGGGTGGGTGCAGTTGGAGGTCCCCTGGCACCCCATCCTCCCTACTGGGGGGCATATGTGTCAGTCAGCAGGAATTTCCTCCTGGAAATAGCTCATTCCTTTTCATGTGTTCCTGGGAGCTCTGGCTCCTGAATCCTGGCTATTCTGTCGCAGCTATAGCCAGGTTGTAGGTTGATACTATTAAATTTTGTCACAGTGCTCCAAGAGAAATGACTTGGCTATCAAATTAGCTTGGCTTTTAGGCTAGATCAAACATTAGCATGCTCTGAACCACTGTACAGCATGGATCTCTGGGTGCCACTGATCCCTCCAGAATTGGGCAGCCTGTAGTCTTTAAGGAACTGCTGGAATTGGGGGCAGCAGCCAGTCAGGTCTGAACACCACTGTCAGTTAGCACCCTGGTAGCACCATGTGGCCTGGGGTAAGGATGTGGGTTCTGGGGTCACCTGGCCTGGGTATGCTGTGGGGTGCCCTGCTCAGAGCTTGTGGCATTCTGGTAGCCTTGTAACCTCCTCATACTCTCTTTAAGTGGGACAGTAACAGTTCCCATATTTAAGTTGTAGTGAAGACTGAGCGAATTTGCAGAGAGCACAGGTCAGAAATGAACTGGGGATGAACTGAGTGTGGCACCAGGTATATTTATTTGGGGGAGCCTGTAAGCAAATCAAAGGAATGTTTCTGCCTATAATTTTTTTTTAAAAAAACACCACTTTGCAACCTCTCACTTCCTTTAATAAAGATTAGGCAGCTCTGGGTGACCTGCGTTCCCACCGAGTTGATGCTCTACAGAGATCCAGCTGTCTCCTCCCCCCACTGCTTAGGGGGGATTAAATGAACTAGGGCAGCGGGGGATTTAAAGCTACAACCAAGGCTTGGGCCTTGTTGTCACTGTGCCACTTACCCTGCTGTAGCTTTACTTGTAGCAGGTGTCTGGCTCTTAGGTGAAGGCTGTTCAGGGGTCATGTGAGAGGTGGTGCCTTGTATTATGTAACTGCCAAGTGGGTTGGAATTGAACTGTCCCCTCCTTTCTCGTTGAGCAGACATTGACGATTGTTCCCCAAATAACTGTTCCCATGGGGGCACCTGCCAGGACATGGTTAACGGATTTAAGTGTGTGTGCCCTCCGCAGTGGACTGGCAAGACATGCCAGTTAGGTAAGAAAATTCCAGCAACCATGCTCCCTGAACCCAGATTAGTTGGCTTTGCTAATGAAAGCTGTCAAGAAAGACAAACTTGTGGCCAGCGGTGTGAGTTCACACTCCATCCTGCTGAGGAGTCCTTTATTATGGGGAAGTTTTAGGACTGGGAGAAATAACTTGAACGCAGGTGGACTGGCTCTTTCGGCCCTGTGGGAAAGTTGTCGGATTCCTTGAACCATGTCAATTGTCCGTCCGAGGAGAGTGCAGCTGGGTTCCAGGCAGGGATGATCTCATGAGGAATGAACCATCTGCATTCTTCTTGCCACATTTAAATCCCAGCAACTAGGCTGCTCCAGGTCCCATGCAGAAATGCCTGGTGGCTTTCTACTATTCGGTCAGGGGCCAGTTGTTGACCAGTAGCCTGAAAGTTAGCAATTAGTGCTTCTTATTGGATGAGAGTTAGGGATAGAGCTCCTCTGTGCAAAACACAGGCCACTAGGATTTCTTATTTAGCTGGCTTGCTAGTGTTTCCCACAGCAGATGAACTATTACTGGTGTGGTGCATCTCTGGGTGGGGGAGGGGGTAAAGGGCCATTTCTCACTGTTCATCCTTGCTTCCTTTCAGATGCAAATGAATGTGAGGCCAAACCTTGTGTAAATGCCAAATCCTGTAAGAATCTGATCGCAAGCTACTACTGTGATTGCCTACCAGGCTGGATGGGTCAGAATTGTGACATAAGTGAGTGACTATTTCACTTCTGGTTTTCATGAAATTTGAGTGTTGAAGACACTGGTCTGTCCATCCCTGGACTCCAGTTTAGCGCGCCCCCCCCCCATTTTGTGGTACTAGGCATTGAACCCCCAGGGCCTCCTGCACTCCAGGCACACATGCTGTCACCAGTGCTAGAAATGCTCATGGAAGGGAGTGATGGGGCAACAGGGAAAACACAAAATTTATCAGGCTCATTAGCAGCTACAACTGCCCATACTCTGATAAGGTGGCTAAACAATGAAGTGAAGTTTCACTCCCTCACTCCGGGAGTGTTAGGGAGGATCCCCACCCAGTATAATAAGCTTATCTCACAGGAAGCACACAGGAAATCTGATTTGAAACTTTATCTGTCCTGAGTGAGGAGGCTTTTCAGTCATGCCCTGTTTCAATGTCAAATGCCCCTTTAATAGGATGACTTCCTTATTTTTCAGATATAAATGACTGCCTCGGTCAGTGTCAGAATGATGCCTCCTGTCAGGTATGTACATTTTTACTTAAATCCTTGACAGTTGACAAGAAGTCCTGAGATTTATGTGATGGGGGGAGGGCTTTGTGCCCATGGGATTTGAAAAGTGCAGGTGAAAGGAGGTCTCTGCGTTTCCGTAGGCCCCTTGTTAGCCCAGAGCCCTGTGAAGGTATGTGTGCAGAAAACCCCTAACCTGGGTTGTTTGGTTGGCAGTGATTAGCTGATGAACCTCAGCAGTCATGCTCAACTAAAGCGCTGAAGCTCTGTGTGTGTGGAATACATAGACAGAGCATGTGTTTCTCCCTCTTCTCCTCTTCCAGGACTTGGTTAATGGTTATCGCTGTATCTGTCCACCTGGCTATGCAGGCGATCACTGTGAGAGAGACATTGATGAATGTGCCAGCAACCCGTGTTTGAACGGGGGCCACTGTCAGAATGAAATCAACAGATTCCAGTGTCTGTGTCCCACTGGTTTCTCTGGAAACCTCTGTCAGGTGAGTGGAGGCGAGTACTTCAGATGACCAAGATTTCACGGCACAGCCTGCTGCCATTCTTCCCTCCTCCCCTCCTCCTGACTTGTGTGCAGGCTCTTGGGACATCTGTTAACATCCTACACTAGGGAATCTCTGCTAGAGAATGCTGGTGGAAGAATGTTTCCAAGTGATTTCCTCCTTAGTGCCCATGGCCCATCTGTTCGACTCTGCTAGAGTTTATGTCTTGCTTGGCACTCTGCCTCCTGCCCTGCCCTATCTTTTTGAATACTTACCGGGCTATGGTGGTTCCTAAGCACAAAGGTGTGTTACACATCTAGAAGCAGATAGATGGATGGAGGGGTCAGTTCCCATTGTCCCAGATAATGACACCTCTGTCCTGCTCCTGACACTTGCAGCTGGACATAGATTACTGCGAGCCCAACCCCTGCCAGAATGGGGCCCACTGCTACAATCGGGCCAGTGATTACTTCTGCAAGTGTCCCCAGGACTATGAGGGCAAGAACTGCTCGCACCTGAAAGACCACTGCCGTACAACCCCCTGTGAAGGTACTGCCCTGCCTGGCACCCAGCTGTCTCCAGACCTCTTTTGTTCTATGTCCTATCTCCCCTTAGTGTTGTTAGAGGTGTAGTATGTAGGTGAGGAGGACTTTTCTCTGATTGCTTAGGGAAGCCAGAGCATGTGGGAGCAATCTGTTCCAGCCCTCCTTGGAAGAACCACATGTTATGTAGAGCTCAGAGGAGAGCAAGCTTGTAAAAGCCATTTGTCATTCGTGTCCTGGGTGGGCTGATTTGCAGCCTTGAGGCAGATCCTCCGCAGCAGCACTGTCAGAGTTCTCTACAACTGTGGGGATGTTCTGTATCTCAGTTAAGCCTGACTGCAGCGTCATGGGGGAGCTGTGGACCACGTGTGGCTACCGAGCGCATAGTGACTGGCATGGCTAGCAACACTACTTAATTTTAGCTCATTTAGATCTAGATAGCCACATGTGGCCCATGGCTGCTGTATTAGGCTGCAGGATCTTAATTAGAGCCTCTGTAAGTTTATCCTCTAGCCTTACCTTAGATTGAGGAAGGAAGCAGAGGTGATCTTTTTCCACAATGGGCAGATGTCAGAGGTGGGATGAAGGGGCCCACAGGCGTATAGGCTTCTTGGCTACTTGATGACAAAATGCTTTAAAAATTTTGCCTGGCATCACAGCTTTGCTTGTCATAGTGCAAGGAGGCAGGTCGTTGGAGTCCTGGTCCCTGGGGTGCCTCTTGACTTCTTACCCTCATTAGCCAGAGGGTGCCCGGCTCCAGTATGGAGGCGTGGCTTTAGTCCTTTGCTTAGGAACGCTGTGGCCGCAATCTGATCTGAGCCTGTCTTCTAGTGATTGACAGCTGCACCGTGGCCATGGCTTCCAACGACACGCCTGAAGGGGTGCGATATATCTCTTCTAACGTCTGTGGTCCCCACGGGAAGTGCAAGAGCCAGTCGGGAGGCAAATTCACCTGTGACTGTAACAAAGGCTTCACGGGAACGTACTGCCATGAAAGTAAGACCCCTCCCTGGGGAATGGGGAGCAAGGAGTTGCACTGCCTCAGAAAATCAGGTTGCAGTGCTTGTTACATTTATCATTCAATTTAGGCTCTGAGACTGAGGATGGATTCAGTTGCCAGGTTCTAATGCCTCTGAGTTTCTGTATCTACCTTGGAGTATTCTGGAATCTTATGAATTCACGGAGTCCCTCTTTTCTGTAGAAGTTTTTCCTGGGCCCACCAAGTAACACAAATGAGGGTGTTACATTAAGAAGGGGGAGGCACCACCTGGAAGCTTCTGTCCCATTGGAGAAAGTCAGTGTAGAATACAGGCGCCAGGTGCATTTTCTCAGACAGCCATGAAAACCACAAGACAGGGCTTGGTCGGGGCATTCTTTGCCCCTCAGCTCCTCATGTTCATTGTTTTCTTCCTTTCCACAGATATTAATGACTGCGAGAGCAACCCCTGTCGAAACGGTGGCACTTGTATCGATGGTGTCAACTCCTACAAGTGTATCTGCAGCGATGGCTGGGAGGGAGCCTATTGTGAAACCAGTGAGTCTGTGGTTCTTTGGGACTCTGGGATGGGCGGCCCCCTTAATCTGGGATGCCTTTGTATGCAATGGCAATTTCTGAAGGTAGGGCCCCAACAATTTCTGTAGTGAGGACTCAGAGCTTGTGTTTACTAATGTTGAGCGACCTTGGCTGCAGAGCTCTAGAAAGAGACCAGAAATGAAGATAGTAAATATCCTGCTTGCAAGGAAAGGCACTTTTATTTAAATTCTTTCTTTCTCTTACCTAACTTGCGACATTCAAAGTTGGGAGCTGCTTCATTTCATAAAAACAGACACAGGAGGTGGTCAGCAAGGGCTAAGGGAGGCTGTAGGAGTCTGTGGTCCTGGTTTGTTTTCAGCTTGAGTCTCCTCTTTGGTTCCTAGATATTAATGACTGCAGCCAGAACCCCTGCCACAATGGGGGCACATGTCGAGACCTGGTCAATGATTTTTACTGTGACTGTAAAAATGGGTGGAAGGGAAAGACCTGCCACTCACGTAAGTGTTCACCAGCCTGAGTCTTGGCTCTGTACTCTTTGGGAGGCACCAGCAGGGGCTCACGTAGATATATTCTTCCTTCAGGTGACAGCCAGTGTGACGAGGCCACATGCAACAACGGCGGCACCTGCTACGATGAAGGGGATGCTTTTAAGTGCATGTGTCCCGGTGGCTGGGAAGGAACAACCTGCAACATAGGTAACTTTCTTCCATCCGAGTGTCTGTTGGTGAGCTCCTGGGCCTGGGTCCTGCCCCGCCCCCGCCAGACAGTTTCTGGACACTCACAGTGGGGGGTCTTGGCCCTGTCTTGCAGCCAGGAACAGTAGCTGCCTGCCCAGCCCCTGCCATAACGGGGGCACCTGTGTGGTCAATGGCGAGTCTTTTACGTGTGTCTGCAAAGAAGGCTGGGAGGGACCCATCTGCACACAGAGTGAGTGTCCTCCCCCCTTGAACTCTCCCAGGGCTGCTAGAGCATATCCTGACACCCTTGGGGACTTGCAATAGAAACCAGAAGCAGTGTCGTTTGATGTCTGCTTGTGTATCACCTGGGTCCGTATTAATGACTTGATGGGCTGCAGCCCTGACCTGGGCATGAGAAAGTCGCTGGTGAGATAAGTGGAGACAGATGGTGTCTCAGTTCCCAGCTCTGGGGCTGACCAGCAGCCCGCTGTCTTCCATTCTCACACACTCCACAGTCCCCTCCTGGGCCTCTTCCTGTGTACATGTGTCCCACGGCAAATGAAACCCAGTGTGCTGCAGGCCTGGTTCTAATTCAGCAGAGGTTTTAAGCATATTTGGCTGATGTTAACTTCGACTTTGTATCATCTGGGTGTTGTGGAAATAAATGATGTTTTTTTCTTAGGGCTAAGACCCCTTTCCCAGATGTGTCCTCACTGTCGCCTTTCCTTTGCAGATACCAATGACTGTAGCCCTCACCCCTGGTAAGTGACAACCTTGAGGCTGGCCCTTATTGGCAGTAGCATGCATAGGACCTCCTGGGGATCATGTTTAAAGTGCAGGCTCTGATTCAGGAGGTCTGGGTGGGGCTCTGCTTTTCTAACAAGCTCCCAGGTGATCCCCATCGTGCTGCTTCAAGGACTACACTTTAATTAGCCAGGTTGCGTCTTCATTTAGAGCAGTGATTCTCAACCTTGGCTGCACATAGGAATCGCCCAGGGAGTTTTTAAAAGTCCCAGTGCCTGAGCTGCACCCAAGACTTAGGAAATGAGATTCTCCAGGATAGGGCTGAGGCATCAGTATTTGTAAAGCTCCCACGACTGAGGGGAGTGTGGGGGTGGGGAGTGGCGACCCCCAGGGGTAGGAGCCAAGGACTGCAGTTGGCTATATGAGACAGACAGCATTGTGGATGAGGAAGCTGCTTACTGAACTGTGTTCTCTGCTTTCTTTTTAGTTATAATAGCGGCACCTGTGTGGATGGGGACAACTGGTACCGGTGTGAGTGTGCACCAGGTTTTGCTGGACCGGACTGCAGAATAAGTAAGGATACACTGGTTTTCCCAACTACTCTCCTCCCTGTTTCCCTTCCCAGCTTCAGATTTTTTTCCACATTTAGAAATAGTTAAGGCCACAGTCCCCAGCCCTGATAAATAAGGAGTTTGCCTTCAGCTGGGTTGAGGGTGCCTGGCTGGGGCCTCCCAGGTGCCATGTGTAGTCTCCTGTGTGGCGTAGACCTTCTTGTTCCTGGAGAGAGTGCTAGCCACAGAATGCGATGTTTTAAGTTTTTCCTTGTGACTAACTTGAAATTATGGGCAAATGGATGCTGTCTCGGTGATACTGCCGCAGGACCAAACTAATGCAGATGGGAAAGCCTGGCCTCTGGGCTGAGGCGCTGAGCTGCCAGCTGTACCAGGCCCCAGACAAGTGATGAAAGCAGCTAAGAGAGGGACAGAGAACACAGTTTCTCAGAGCTGAAAGTTTATTTTTTGTTGTGAGCTTTTGACCTACATTCTATATGCTATTTATTTTACTAAGAAATCGTGATAAAATAATTGTTGTTTAGTTTTTGTCCTCAGATTGTTTGAAATTTTACTGCTGCTTGAAATGCCTAGATCTGAGCTCCAGCACTAGATGGGGGGACAGGTTGGGTCTGTTTGATACCCCTTACTTGGGAAGTAGCAAATAGAGCTTTGGGCCACGCTGGGCCTGCTGCCTGTTTCTAAAACGAGTTTTTAATTTTTTTAAAGAAAATATTTTTTTAGTTCTGGGGCTTGGACATAGAGCTTTTGCACTGAGCTACATCCTCAACCCTTTCTATGTGTTTTTGCTTCGAGACATGGTCATGCCGAGTTGCCCAAGCTGGGCTCAGTCCTCCTGTGTCAGCTTCCCAGGGTGCTGGGATCACAGGTGTTTGCCACAACACCGGGCTTAAAGTTTTACTGCGACCTAGCCACACTTACTGGTTTACCTACTGGCTGTGGCTACTTGTAGGACCACAACAGAACTGAGGGGTTGAGACAAAGAGCTTGTGGCCTGCAAAGCCTGAAATATTTACTAATCCCTTTGAGGAAAATTTGCTGGCCCTGCTCTAAACTGTACTGTCAGGAAAGAAAGGAACTTAAGTTAAAATTGCCATCTCTTGGGTATTAGAAGTCAGAGTGACACACTCTGAGGGTCCATCACTGGTAGTGCCTTTTTGGGAGATTAATGATCCATTTCTTTACTTGGGTGCTGGTCACATGAGTGAAAATACAGCAGGCCTGTAATGATTTGAATGCTTTTCTGTGTCTATAAAAAACTTTGCCAGCTGCTGTAGAGCCTAAGTGTGAGCTCTTTTTTTGTAGACATCAATGAATGCCAGTCTTCACCTTGTGCCTTCGGGGCGACTTGTGTGGATGAGATCAATGGCTACCGGTGTGTCTGCCCCCCAGGCCATAGTGGCACCAAATGCCAGGAAGGTATGTATGCCAGGTCCCTGCTGCCAGCCATGTGCCCTCTGGCATGAGCAGACTGACTGTTCCTGAGTGGGTGTCATGCTCAGGGAGGAAGAACTGAGTGGAGACTGTAGGGAACGGAGCCCATGAAGGGTAGCAGTTGATTTCAGTCAGCTCTTAGTGTAGTAATGCCATGTAACAAACCATCTGGAAACTTGGTTTTTGGTGGTAGACAGAGTGGTTATCCTTTGGGTTACAAGAGTCACCAAGCTTGGGGGGAAGAGCCTGGTTAAAGGGCATCTTGGGTCATACCTGCTGATGCTGCATTAGCCAAAGCAGATCACATGGCTGGTTGAGGATGTCAGAGAAGGGCGCATACCTGCCCAGCGTAGGAGGAACTCTCATCACGTGGGCAAAGGCATGGGTGTAACTGTTTCATAACAGGGAGAGAGTAAAATATTAAGGACCATGATCTGGTCTGCGGAAGAAGAAACTCCTGCTCACACATCTCCACCTCTCAGTTTCAGGAAAACCTTGCATCACCATGGGGAGCATGATACCCGACGGCGCCAAGTGGGATGAGGACTGCAACACCTGCCAGTGCCTGAATGGGCGGATTGCCTGCTCCAAGGTAGAGCATGAGGAGGCCGGCCAAGTTTCCCACGGGCTCCATGGTGTTGGGGCCCTTCTGGCTAAGCTGGTGGCTTCTGACTTCCTTTCCCTAGGTCTGGTGTGGCCCTCGACCTTGCCTGCTCCACAGAGGGCACAGTGAGTGTCCTGGTGGGCAGAGCTGCATCCCTATCCTGGAGGACCAGTGCTTCGTGCGCCCCTGCACTGGTGTGGGTGAATGCCACTCTTCCAGTCTGCAGCCAGTGAAGACCAAGTGCACCTCGGACTCCTACTACCAGGATAACTGTGCAAACATCACATTCACCTTTAATAAGGAGATGATGTCACCGGTAGGTGACAACCTTAGCTGGGAATGGTGTGTGCATGCCAGAGTATCAAAAGCTAGGATATAGTTCCCTTTAGCCTAAATGCTTGTCTTTAGCAGTGAGGACTGAATTTAGCCAGAGATGATCAAGAACATCGGCCCACCTTTTTTCCTTCTAATCTCTTATGTGTATGGATTTTTGAAAAATTGTTCTAGGGTCTTACCACAGAGCACATTTGCAGTGAACTGAGGAATCTGAATATTTTGAAGAATGTGTCTGCCGAGTATTCAATCTACATAGCTTGTGAGCCCTCCCCTTCAGCAAACAATGAAATCCATGTGGCCATTGTGAGTATAAGACCTGTTCACACTGTTATATGATAGTAACTTCAGCCAGTATCATATAGAACAATTACATTGAGAACATATTATGTGCTGTCCTATAATTTTAAGTGCTTCCGTTAAGTATCCCCCAAATCAAGTCTGGTAATCTCTTCTCCAGTCTGCTGAAGACATACGAGATGATGGAAACCCTATCAAGGAAATCACGGACAAAATAATTGATCTTGTTAGTAAACGTGATGGAAATAGCTCACTTATTGCTGCTGTCGCAGAAGTGAGAGTTCAGAGGCGGCCTCTGAAGAACAGGACGGGTAAGTATCAAGTGGGATGGTCCCTTTTTGTGATGCCTGTCAAATTGATCTATTACACCAGGCATCGAAGCCTGTAAAGGGGGGGATTATTTGACTGTGCTCCCTCCCACCTCCCAGAGCCTTGTAACTGGTGAGACAACTGAAGTCAGCCAACTAGACCAAGGTCACATGGCTGTTGGGGACACAGGTCCACCTGACTTTTTCCCTGCCAACCAGCTACATGTTGTTCACAGGCTTCCACAGGAGAGGTATTGTCTAGGCCCACTGCAGATCCCTGGTGTGGAGCACCACTGCGCCCTGGGCTGGACCCTATATAAAGCCTGACTTGGATTCTGGAGTCATGGCACAGCCTGCCTTGAGCACTGAGGCACTGGTTGCATGGATGTCTTGGTGGGCCTTCCTGCATGTCACCTAGTCTCTCCTTTTGAGGACCTCAAGCACCAGTTAGGTCAGAAATAGGGGCACACAACCATGCGGTATTTGAACTGCATGGCTGGAGTAGGATTTTGGTAATTCTGAAAAGGTGCTTCAGCCATGAGCTAGGTGAGTAGCCAGATTCCCTTGGACTTCGCTGGACACAGTTCTCCCATGTGAAGTCAAACTACAGGAGCTGCCGCCCTGCCTGGTCTCTCTGGGAACAAGTGTCAAGGTCTCCAAGGGCCCTGATCCCAGCACTTGCTTATCAAGCTGTGATATGACAATATGCAATTGTGAAAAGGGACTTGTGCCCCTCTTGGGGACTGAGGAAAGGACAACCCTTCTTGGTATTCTTTTGTTCCCATAGTGTGATGGCTTTTTTTTTTTTTTTCTTTTGAGAGTTAATTGGTTCTCTGCCTGCCCTACAGATTTTCTGGTTCCTCTGCTGAGCTCTGTCTTGACGGTGGCTTGGATCTGTTGCTTGGTGACGGCCTTCTACTGGTGTGTGCGGAAGCGGCGGAAGCCAAGTAGCCACACGCTCTCCGCCTCTGAGGACAACACCACCAACAACGTGCGGGAACAGCTGAACCAGATCAAAAACCCCATTGAGAAGCATGGAGCCAACACAGTCCCCATCAAGGATTATGAGAATAAAAACTCCAAAATGTCTAAGATAAGGACACACAACTCGGAAGTTGAAGAGGATGACATGGATAAACACCAGCAGAAAGCCCGGTTTGCCAAACAGCCAGTGTACACGCTGGTAGACAGAGAGGAGAAGCCCCCCAATGGCACACCGACTAAACATCCAAACTGGACAAACAAACAGGACAACAGGGACTTGGAGAGTGCCCAGAGCCTAAACCGGATGGAGTACATCGTATAGCAGACAGCGGGCACTGCCACCGTTTAGGTAGAGTCGGAGGGCACTTGGGGCTTGTAGTTCTTTAAACTATTGTTACACTCGAGTCCAAGGCTGTTGTTGACTTAGGATCCCTGTGTTAATTTAAGTTTCGACAAGCTGGCTTACACTGGCAATGGTAGTTTCTGTGGTTGGCTGGGAAATCGGGTGCTGCGTCTCACAGCTATGCAAAAACTAGTGGCAAGTGCGCCAGGTGTGTGCCACATCCCCAGCTGCCAGCACCTGGCCCTCAGGCTCCTAGGACAATGCCTGGGCCCCCAGTTCCTGAGCTTCCACTTCTGCCAGTCGTCCTAATGGTGATGCAGTCTTAGGATCATAGTTTTATTTATATTTATTGACTCTTGAGTTGTTTTTGTATATTGGTTTTATGATGACGTACAAGTAGTTCTGTATTTGAAAGTGCCTTTGCAGCTCAGAACCACAGCAACTATCACAAATGAGTTTATTTATTTTTTTTATTGTATTTTTGTTGTTGTTGGGGGAGGGGGGACCCTGATGTCAGCTGTTGCTGGTAAAATGAAGAATTTAAAGAGGAAATGTGTCAAAAGTAGAGTTTTTGTATAGTTATGTAAATAATTCTTTTTTATTAATCACTGTGTATATTTGATTTATTAACTTAATAATCAAGAGCCTTAAAACATCATTCCTTTTTATTTATATGTATGTTTAGAACTGAAGGTTTTTGATAGCATTGTAAGCGTATGGCTTTTTTTTTTTTTTGAACTTATTTTCTCATTACTTGTTGTCTATAAGCCAAAATTAAGGTGTTTGAAAATAGTTTATCTTAAAACATTAGGATGGGCTACTGGGCCCAGGATACTGATACTGATGGAATTTTTTTTGTACGACGTCAGATGTTAAAACACCTTCTATATAGCATCACTTTAAGACACGTTTTAAGGACTGACTGAGGCAGTTTGAGAATTAGTCTAGAACAGGTTTTTTTTTTGTTTTTTTTTTTCCTCTGCTTTAGACTTGAAAAGAAGAAACAGACAGGTGATCTGCTACAGAGCAGTTTAAGGGAACAAGTTGAACTATGACTTAACGTAGCCAAAAATGTGAGTGGTTGAATATCATTAAAAATATCCAATTAATTGTGTGAAGTTGGAAGCACACCAATCTTATTTTGTAAATTGTGATTACTTTTCACCATTCGTATGTAATACTGAACCACTTGTAAATTTGATATTTTTTTGTTATCTACTGCATTTAGGGAGTATTCTAATAAGCTAGTTGAATACTTGAAGCATAAAATGTCCAGTAAGATCACTGTTTAGATTTGCCACAGAGTACACTGCCTGCCTTAAGTGAGGAAATCAAAGTGCTATTACAAAGTTTAAGATCAAAAAGGCTTATAAAACAGAGTAATCTTGTTGGTTCACCTTTGAGACCGTGAAGATAACTTTGTATTGTCCTATTAGTGTTATATGAACATAAAAATGCATCTTTGATGTGTTGTTCCTGGCAATAAATTTTGAAAAGTAATATTTATTAAATTTTTTGTATGAAAACATGGAACAGTGTGGCCTCTTCTGAGCTGACGCAGTCTTGCCTGGCTCTGCTGCATGCTCTTGCTACCCTGACTGATCTATGCCTGCTGGTAACCAGGTCTAACAGGTTGGGCCTGACGGGGGCAAGCAGAAAGAAATGAAAGGCTTTTCAACCACAAAGCTCACCCAAGTTCTCAAGAAACCTCAGGGCTTCTGTGAAGCTGGAGTTGTGGGAGCCCCGATTCCTTGTTATTCAACAGCAAGTGTGAATACTGCTTGAATAAACACCACTGGATTCATGGCACACAGTGTGGAGGTGAATTGTTTGGGAGCACTCATGGGAAATGCTCACCGCACTAAAGGGCTTTTAAACAGTTTGGAATTGGTGTTGGGGGATTAAGTGGGGGGGTTAATGCTTTCTCTTTTTACCCTCTGGCTCTCTGGATTGACAGTGCTGTCCTGCCCTGGAGGCCACACCCTTGTGCCTCTCCTAAAAGCTTACCTAGTACGGTGGCTTCCTCAGTGCACAGCAGGGAGCAGTTAGAAGCTCTGGTATTAGGTATTATCACTGCCTTGGCCGGAAGAATGAATGCTGGCTGGCCTCACCATGCAGTCTTGGGGTATTGATTGCTTGGTCTTCCATGAGGTTCCAGGGTCTCAAAGTCCTCAAAGAGCTGTTGCATTTTGGCTGCTTAGATCTGGGAGCCAACAGCATATTGGTTGAGAGCCTTGTTGCCTCTGTATTGTGGGGCGGGGAAGCTCTGCCTTGGACTTCTCTGTTGCAAAAGAGGAGTAAATGGACTGTGTCCAGTGGTTGCATGGAGGCCCTGTAGGTTCTTGCTTTTTTTTTTTTTTTTTTTTTTTTTCCAGTACTGGGAATTGAACTGGGACCTTACACGTGCTGGGCAGGCACTTATGCTGCTGAGCTGTCTCCCAGGCCCGGGGGTTTTGCTATTGCTTAGGAAGTCAAAGCTTACCCTTCAGGTTTGTGTCTACGCCTGAATGCTGAAACACTGCTACAGAAGGGTAAGCATTCAGGCATAGACACAAACTTGAAGTTTCACAGTGTAAGTCCAACAGATGCAACAAATTTTTTTTTTTTCAGAACCAGGGATTGAACTCGGGTCCCTGCACTTGCCAGGGAAGTGATTATTCTACTGAGCCATCTCCCCGGCCCCTGATGCAACAGATTTTTGATGGAAAGGGTGACAGGGATGTTTTTCTCAGGGAACTTTTTCCTATTAGAATAGGATTTGTTCTCTGATGGGCCACTTGTTCAGTCATGGATGATGATGGGCTTCATGCCCCTGACCCCTTGGGTATAAGGACAGAGTGGTGGCTCACTGAGGAGGCACCATGACAGACTCCACGTGGACAAGTCTAGGTTCCCATGATAGCATCCTGCCTTGATGTAGCAACACTGTGTGATTAATCTTTGCCAGTAGTCAGCTGGTTTCTGTAGGGTTGGGGGTGGGGAAGGAGCATTACAGACCCTTAAGCCAGGAGACAGTCCGGTTTAGCAGCGCTGACTTCAAACACCATCCTGAAGCAATACCTTGTTCTGGTACTTTGTAAACTTGGATTCTGCAAGACCCCAGAATTCCTTGGGAAGCTGCCAAATGATTTTGTGCCAAGACAAAAAAAAAAAAAAAAAAAAAAAAAAACCTTTACAGTTCTTCATTCCACAAGGGAAGTGACTTTGAGATTCATGGTACTGTCTTAAGGCTTCCATCTCACTCTTCAGTAGTGGGAGGTTACAGATCAGACTCCTGGGCAAGGTGCAAAGTCAGAATCTTAATTGTGAAGAGAGACAGAAGCAGTCAGTGAAGCCCTGGTTATCCTGGGCTTAGGGGTGTGGAAAAGGGATTCTCCTTTGCCATTCCCCATGAACATTCTCAGCCCTGTTTAAAGGGGCCTGGAAGAGAGAATCTTTCATCTACAAAGCTGGCTAACTAAAAGATCCTAGCATTATAATATACTGTGCACTTCCAAGAAAGAATTAACTTGAAGCTGATTGTTTTAGGGAGGAAACTGTCCTGAGAGTCTAGACTTAACACAGTGCAGAATTGGAAAAGGCAGAATAAATCTTACCTAAAAGCCAAATGAAAATAAGCAGTCACAAGGGTGGCTTGGTGAGTTCCTCTTAAATGCAGATATTCAGGTCAGACCTGGCCCAAAAGCTGCTTAGATCAGACTCATGAAATTTAGGCCCAGGAATCTGCATTTTCAACAAGCTCTCCACTGCTACTCTTCTTCAGCTTAAGTACAGTAAAATTGGAGAACAACCCTGCTAAAGTTCTGAAGTATAAGCTCTTCATTAATTACAATGTTTTTCCTCCTCGTTAAACTGAATTAAATAGCCTGGAAGCCAGTTTGTTGTAAAATTGCCACCTGACATCATTTTTGAGTAAAATAATTACACAGCCCCTTGAGCAAGTTGTGGTCTAAATGCTTCATCTTTACTAGCTGATCTGAGGGGTCAGTGAGTCAAAGCTAAAGTTTTAGTAATATTTCTTAGGTACCAAAGAGCCAGAGGAAAGAGTGTGTGGGTTTCCCACCTTTCTAAATGGTTTACACCTGCCTGTCACATAGTAAGTGTATAACTAAAAACTAGTTGCTTTTGAAGAAAAAAGTCCTATAGGCCTGCAGGGGTTTGACGTTGGGCTGAGCAATAGTTCACCACTTCCGTTTGGACTATGGGTCTCTCTTGCCTTCACTGGGAATGAGAAACAGGAGTTCAGAGGTTCTCGGTCTGGGAAGACACAAACACATGGGTTATGGGAAGCCTCCTCCTGCTAATGTGTATTTATACTTTGTAAGCTCTGATTCATCCAAGCATTGGAACAGAAATCTGCTTCCTGAGGTTCTGTTTTTAAATAGACAGTTTGCAAAAACAACAGTTATTTTTCTTAACATTTTTTTTTTCCACCCCACAAGCAGCTAAACGTCCCAGCTCAGACTATGTCAGTCTCCAGCAATGCCAACAGCCTGGGTATGTGAGGTAGAAGGGTGCCTCTAGGCAGTTCTTTAGGGTTCTGGCCCCAGCAGTCTTAAAAACACAGTTTAGAAACCATTAGGGCAATCTTGTTGCATCATTTCAAATCTGTGAGACATTTCTGGGCATATTAAAAATAACAAATTTCCCTTTGTGAACATTGACTTGCGATGGTTATTAAAATGTATGTGTGTGGATGTCTCTAGTGATGTTTGTGGAGCTGCCTGGCTGATGAGGGGCCCGAACACCTGCCTGGCATCTTCTGGGAGCCTGTCAAAAGGTGCGGCTCCCTTGCTTTGGACATACATTCTACCTGTACTACTTGCTCTTGCATGCCGGGCACAACCTTCCTGGCATAAAGTGTGTTTCTTTCAAGTACAAGGCAGCTTTTACAAGTCTCAAATTATGTATCGTTATGCATGGGTCCAGTATTAACCTGTGATATGCAAGTCAGGAAAATTAACTTGGAGCGTAAAGGCTCTTAAATCCACTAAGAGCCTTGAATGGAAGTCTTCCCGCTGCCTCTCCACCCCCTGCAAATATCCATACCAGGGCACCCAAGGGTTGCATTATTCACAGAGCAAGTCCAATGCCAGCAACATGAAAGTAATAGCTTTGTTTTAAACAGAAGCTCTCCTGGCAGAGCCAATGGGGCTCTCTGGTGATCCCAGAGGGAAATACAGGTTTGCAGCTGGCTTCCTAATGACTACTCCGGCAACCAAACTGCTTGGCCCACTCTATTTTGCACTCAAAGGGGGAAATGCTGCTTTGTCCAACCCTGCTGAGATAAGTGCATCTCAGACTCAGTGATATTAATGCAACTGGGGATCCATCTTATCCACCAGAAGATCCACCCCTGCTACTTTCCCAGAAGGAGAAAATGGGCTCAAGAGAGGTCCTGGGATTTCTCATACAGTTGGCAACAGCCAGGAGTAGAATGTGGGTTCTTCATCCTGGGCTGCTGTGTCGTGTGCCTCCTCTGGGAATATGCCAGGTTATACCAAGATCCTGCCTTGGGCATGATTTTCACAGGTAACAAGTCAGGAGAGCTGTGCTAAACAACAGTGGATGCGAAGGCTCCAGGAGCAAAGACTGTCCCTGACTTGAGCTAGCTCAGACTACAATGTGGCATCATCAGCCGTGGGTCAACAGGTAGTTTCCGAATCAAAGGCAGATTAAGCCCCATTCTTTTGTAGGTTGTTTCTTTGTTTTTAGGAAGTTTCAGATTCCACTTCATAGAATTAGAATACAAACTGCAGAAAAGGGATCTGGAAAAGAAATGTACACCCACCCCGTCAGACCACACCTTACACGTGTGCACACATGTCCACATGTATGCCCACCCACATGCATTTTCCTGCCTTGTGCAGGACTGTACTGCTGTCTACTGTGCCTGGGACCCAAGTGCAAGCGTCCTGGGTGGGATCAGGTGACTGTCATGACAATTAGGCCTCACTGCATGTTGCTGACAACGCCCGCTTCCCCTGGCAGGTCCCTAGCAGGTTATCATAGACTTCATCTGAGCATTTGCAAATCCTAAAATCCAAATGGCTGGAATGTGATGAAGCTCACCCGGTCCAGTGTGCAGCTGGGCTGGCACACACTCTGGGGAGTTCCTACAACTGCCTGCGGGCAGCTCTGTTTCCTCCGCTGACACCCCTAAAAGCTTTCTCCCCACCCAGCACTGACAGATTAGAAACCATTCCACAGGTCATCTTTAACCTACTTGCCATGTCAGGCTATGCCAGGACTATGCAGAAGTTTCCTTCTCACAGAGGCACCCATGTGGAACAACTTGGAAAACCCCTGAGAAGAAACGTAAACTTTCCAAATAAGATACCCTAAAGCTTCCTCTGGCTCTTCAGTGATGTTTCTTGGGTGTTCTGCTAAAAATTCAAAGCATAAAGCAGGAAAGAAGAGCGCAAATGTGAAACAGCATGTAGCTGTATACAGACAAGGGAAACATGCCTGTGGGTAAAGGAAAGGGCCAAGGGGGCAGCGCGTAAGGCCTCGACACCACGGCTTTTC